AGATGTGACGTATTGGGGTCGTGGGTTGAAATTTTCTCCAAAATTCAGAAGGATTGAACCGTGGCTGAGAATTGCTGGAATGGGTCATTGGTTGTAATTTTTTCCGAAAACGAAAAAGTGGAATGAAAAAGTGTCTAGCTGGAACTTACTCACAGCCTAAACGAGTTTCAAAAAGTGCAACATATGTGTGAATATATTTTTAATTTGCTTTAGTGTTTATAGCATTTTGATAAAAATGCCCGTGGGGATAGCAAGTAGTGAAAAATTGTTCAGCTGGCAAAATACACACACACTACATTTTTAAATATAAGATTTATTTTATAATATAAAATCATATTATAAAATAAATCTTATATTTAGGACTAGAGGAGTATATATACAAGAGAGTTAATATAATTTTTTATTCATGAAATTTGAGTATGTTTTAAATTTTAAACCTGTGATTTTAATCCCCGAAATTTAGTCCGTCTTAAAACATTAGTTCTTAGAGATGTAACAGTATTAAAATCTACTCAAATTTCATAAACAGCATTAAAGTGATGATGTAAACTCATCAAATGACACATATCTGGATCTTGTGTGGATAACAAAAAGGACAAACAAATCCTAAAAACACAACTCTTTTAGCATCTTCATTTTTCTTCTTCATCACTCTTTATTTTTAGGAGTGATTCACCGTGCTACACTTTGTTATCCACACAAGATCCAGTTAGGTATCATCTAATGAGTTCATATCACCACTTTTAATGTCAGTGATGACACTTAAGCAGATTTTAATATTGTTGCATTGTTAGGAATTAACATTTTAAAACAGACAAAATTTTAGGGACAAAAACCCTGGATTTAAAATTTAAAGGATCAAAATCAAAACGGACTTAGTTTCAAGGACAAAAAATATTATTAAACCAAAATAAAAATTAGAGACACACACCCGATTTACAATCATATTATGTTTCTTTTATCTTAAAATTTAGGATTAATGCCCATCCAGCACCTTAAAGTATTTTTCTCAATACATCCGGTATTGTAAAGTATTTTGTAATGCATCTAACACTCTAAAATATTTTTTTTAAGTGCGTCCGGTATCTTAAAGTAATTTTTGTGTATCTAGCACTCTAAAGTATTTTTTTAGGTGCACTAACACCAAAAATATTTTTTGGTGCATCAAGCACTAATAAAAAAATATTTCAAGGTGATGGATATACTAAAAATATACTTCGGAGTACTGGATGCATTACAAAGTATTTCGGAATGCTGAATACATTACGAACTACTTCAGAGTGCTGAATATACTTAAAAAAATATTTCGGCATGCTGGGTACGTCGCATCTTAACCCTAAAATTTATTGATAAATCCTTCAAGAAATAGGGAAAATTTTAGTTTCATTATAATTTCTTTCACCTTCCATTTATTTAAATACGTATTTTTTTGGTTAAATTAATTAAAAAAACATCAGATTTAGGTTTCTATTGATACGTGTTTAAAATAATTTTTCCACTTTTACTTATGTATTGCTTAATATAGCACATCTGCTGAAGGTTAGTGAAAGATATTTTACTTAATATAAAGTATTTACTCAATTTTCTGTAATTTTCTTAAAAATTAATCGTTTCATTGTTATTATACTATTATTTTCCACTTTTTTGTTGTATTTCATTCAATAAAGTAATTCAATTGAGCCAAAACGAGAAAGGAGAGAAAATTCATTGACGGACTAAAATGTTTTGGGGGGAATATTAAGCAGAAAACAAAAGTTCATAGATTAAATTTATTATTATTATTATTATTATATGTCAAAGCGCGTCCCATTGACAAACCTAATGGATAATTTGATAAATTATTGTTTCAAAATGTCTACAGGTCACAAGGTGTAGCACTTCAACTCGGTTTTGATTATTGGTGTCCTGTAATTTTTTGTTGTTGTTTGTCAAAGATAGGTGAGCACAACGGAAGCAAGAAGGGCTTTAGTTATGGTGGGCCCATTTAACGAAATGACGCGTATTAGGCCCACGATGCATGAACGTGAGACGAGATTACGTCATTTATTCACGGCTCGAATTCTTTGATTTCTTCAGGAATTATAATCAAATACTAACTCCAATTCCTAGTATAAAAACTATATAACTAATTTAAAATATTAAAAAATTATTGAAATTGATTATTTATCACAAATATGTGTTGATCTTCTTAAAACATCTTCTTCAATCATATGCATATTGAATTGTTAGAATTATTTTTTAATGAAACTTTTTAATCAATAAGAATATTTTTAAAAAAAGAGAGATAAAGTAGATTGAGATATTATATTTAAGATCAAATCTGACCTCTCAACTAGCTTTTATATTAAAAATATGAGGTAGTATAAATTATAATTTTTCAACAGCATGTATATAAAATAAATACAAGTAAAATACTAATGAACTGCCTAGTATCTTATGTCATTTTGTTTTTTGTTTGATGGCAATGGACTTTCTTTGACAAAAAAATTAATAAGACGAAACTGTGAACATGATAAAAGATTAAAGGCTCATTGTTGCAAAAGTTGAAGCATTTATTACTGTCTTGGAGGAGTTCCGTTGCCCTTGACAACGTAAAATAAGCTCACCCGCCGTCATTTACCACACTGGACAAGTAATTCCCTTGTAATATTGCCAATTATATCATATGAAAAAAAAAATACTACTTCCGTACTAATTATAAAACCTCGTTTACTATCTCTAGTATCTAATATAATACATTAAGAAAATTAGTTAAGTTAGTTATTTTCAATAAATAAATATTGTTTTCTCTAAAATATCTTTACTAATCATTTGTATTTAGTTAGAATTACCATATGATAAAATATTTAACATGTACAACTACTGCAAGAACTACCTTAAAAAAATAAATAAATATGTTATGTAAAACGAATTTGCATTTTATATTTAAAACCTAATTAAAAATTAAACTAATTCTTATATTAAAAATTAGAGTTAGCACGTACCTTTCGCCTATTTATTAGAAAATTAACAAGGCAGAACACAAGTACATAGCTTACCATTGTAATTACCCATTCCAATTACCAAATTAAGATCGCCACAATATTATAGTCAACTTCTAACAACATGAGGAAGACCGAGGCTACAAACCAAGCGAGGAGGTAAGCTACAGGTTCCAACCACCCAGAAAGAGTAAAAACCAGCATCTGCCGAACAATTTCAGCTTGATTTAAAACGGAGCACTACAACAATAGTGACGGTATTCGGGAGGAGGTAACACATGCAAAGCCAAATAATTGGCTACATCAACCACGAAACAAGCTAAGATTGAATGATGCAAATTGATTTGCTTAAAATTGTCCTTATCAGTGATCACATCTTTGATTAACTAACACTCTAAATGAAGGTTTCCGCTCCAATTTTGGCTGCCATGTTCTTTTACATTTACGCTTTATGGAGTTATATTACAGTCTAATTAATCTGAATTGAGCCAAGTCAAATCACAAGAGCACCAAGTATTTAATACAGCAACATATCCAAAGTTTGAGCTTAGGCATTTTTTTTTGGGACCAGCTTGAGCTTAGGCATTTAAACTAGCCGTAGCTCGTCAAAATTCATAAAACCCATCAAAATTAAAAGGCCTATCCAATCGAATAAACCCATTTTAGACCCCGAAAGAGGCAAAGTACTAGGAATGCATTTAACAAGGAACATAAGTAAGTTGAGAATTACTGAAGACTCGTGTAGATTTTGACAGTTTCAGTTTAAGATTGTCATAATACATAGAAAATTAAATACTACTTCTCGGTCCTAAATTAGTATAAGGGTCTTATATTAGGATGGAGGGGTAATAATTATAGTTTTAGGACACTAAATTTAGCATATAAATTTTATTACACGATATTTTGTTGATTTAATGTTATATTTTTAAATTTAATTCAAATAATTAATACTTTGATATAAATATTTTAATTTTTCAAATATATGTGTCAAAATTAGATATGTTACTCTAACTCCAATCTTTTATGAAAATTTCTTTTTTTCTTATGCACAAATATTCTTTTATTTTTTATCACTAGTTCTGTTTTTAAACTACATACCTTCCAGATACACCCCATGACCCTTATCATAATATCTATAATTTTAAATTAATCCATCTCTTTGAATTTTCTGAATATTAAACTTCTTTTTATTCATTTTATTTTTAATTAATATACTCTTTTTTTTTCCTCATACATGATCTCATTTTTCCCTCACTCTCACTTACTCACTCACTCATAAATAAGAGCAAATTTGAATAAAAAAACTGTATTTTCTAAATATTTTATTATTTTTAACTAATTTTAACTGTTTATTAAATATGTAATTTGATTATTTGGATTTTATAGATTTGGTTTTTTTTAACAAAAGATTTGATTGTTGATATAACATAATAATATTATGTTATTTATATAATCAATCCTATTTAGTAAAATAAAGTTTGATGTTGTTGTTAATTATTTGAATCTTATACTACATCCGATTCTTAATATAAGATCCTATTTGACTTTTATTTGGTCCTAAATATAAGACCCCAATCCATTTTGTCTCTCATATTTATACATTTTTTTCCAAAATAACCTTTCTAATAATGATAGTTCTAGTTAATACACTTGATTAGTAAAGATATTTTAAGAAAGACAGCATCTATTTAGGATAAATAATAAACTCAATTTATTTTTTTAATCTCTTTAAATTAATTAACTGATTTTTATAATTAGATTAACGGGTTTTTATAATTAGAAGCGGAGGTAGTAACAAAATACGAAGCAGCAGCGCAGCAATTACTTTAACACGAAGGAGCCTGTCACGCCCGGGATTAAAAAATGGAAAACGGTGTTTTCACGTTGAAAATTTCACCTTTCCGAGTTTTCCCACGCACGTGTGTTAACTTTTCAACCCCTCGAAGGGACAATTTTCACCTTGAACGACCATATATAAGCGGCCTAGGCGCCTAGCCTAAACCTTCGGATTGGGGTGTACCACTATCACCATTGACCCAGTGAGCATTTAACCAGTATCTAGGGGAGCCACCATCTTACTCCGTCGAATATCTTACCCTTTCTCCGATGCAAAATTCCAACTCCGTTTCTCCGGCGTCGAGCAGCGTGACTCGAATCGATCGTGCTTTGGATTCGAATATCATCTCGGATCCAAGCGTTGCCTTTCAGAACCTCTCGACGGTTCGAGCGAGAATGAATTCTCTACAACGCTTTCTATCTGAATCTATCAGCACCAAAGCTTTTGTCAGCGAGGACCAGATGGATATGGTGTCGAACGAAATCGTCTCCGCTGTCCACCAGATTATCGTCAACGGCACCACCCTGGTCTCCTACTCTCAGAATTTCACGGCCGCCGGCTCGTCAACAGCCTCGGGAGACTTACCGGAGCCGTCAGATATGGTATGTTCGACGAGGCCGGGATCTGATCATTCTGGGACTGAGAAAGATAATTTAAAAATTGAGGTTATGGACGATGAAGAAGTGAAGGATGATGACGAAAATTGTGAGATCGTGGAGCTCGACGCGGTCGAATTGCTGGCGGAGCACATTCATTTCTGTGAAATCTGCGGGAAAGGATTCAGGCGTGATGCGAATTTGCGAATGCATATGCGAGCACATGGAAACCAATTCAAAACCCCCGAAGCGTTGGCGAAGAAACACTCTGATAAATCCGACGTCGTTCGTAGCAAAACGGTACGCTTCTCTTGCCCATTCGAAAGTTGCAATCGGAACAAGATGCACAAAAAATTCCGGCCTCTGAAATCGATCATTTGCGTGAAGAACCACTTCAAAAGAAGCCATTGTCCGAAAATGTATTCCTGCAATCGGTGCCACAAGAAGAATTTCTCAGTGCTTTCGGATTTAAAGAGCCATTTGAAGCACTGTGGGGAATCATCAAAGTGGAAGTGCTCCTGTGGGACCACATTTTCAAGGAAGGATAAATTGTTTGGTCACGTAGCTCTGTTTGATGGGCATATGCCAGTTCTTGCCGGGGATGAAGAAGAGAAAGGGAAGCAAATGGTAAAGGAGAATGATGAAGATATGAATATGCTGCTAAAGGAAGAACAACCAGGGCTAAATTATTTGGATGAGGATTTACCAGAAGGATTCTTTGACGATTTAGATGAATTTAGCAATTACTCGTTGGAGGAAGCTCTGGGCTTCTCTTAATACTGCAACTTATGGACGAATTCCCTGAAACTTAGTAAAACTGTTGCAGGCATATCTCCGGCCAGAGATATATATATTTATAGATAACCATGTTTGTGTTCGCTGATATTTTCTGCATTATTACTTGTAGCATGGAAATTGTTGGGCTTGTAATGTTAGATTCTGTTTTTTTTCGGTTTCCTTTTTCCTTCTCAAGTTATGTTGTATGATAAATTGATAACAACATTTTAATAAAACTGAATGGGTATTTTCATTTTTAATATAGTGTGCGTGCTTGAATTGTCAGTGAGAAAATAAATTTTGGATAAACTTGATTAAAAATCATGAGTTTGGGTATAATAATTCTTATATAATTGATTATGTTTGATGATCTTCTGAAAAGCGACATTGATAAAATAGCATACAATCGATTATTGACTAGAAACTACGGTTTGAAGAGAATCTATTAATATTAACTCATGATCATGAATTATGGTTGTTGGAAGTAACAGTTGCTGCCGGACAGATATCTCTCTCTAATGGAGATTGGGTCTAGCATACTAGTATCCCATAACGTGGTGAACTAAAATTCAACCCGTTAGGAGAAGTACTCACATTTAGTGTCTAAAAGTATTTTAAACAGAATTACCTTTAATACGAAGATACATGTGCCTACCCAAAAAAAAAAATCTCTCTATGCAAAGTTATATCTGTAATATTTATACATATTACCTTACTTTATGTTTTTTTAAATAATTTATATATATAACAGAAAAGTTTTCTTAAAGAGATATTTAAATAATTCAAAATCTTATTTGGGTCATCAAAATTTTTCGAACTCCTAATAAGTTCATATAACCTATTGAGATATTTTAAAATTTTATATAATAACTTTAATACTCATTTCATTAAAAATTAAAAAGAAAATTTTAAATCAATATATTCTATTTCGCAATTAACACCTTTCAATTCTAAATTAATAATTTTCTATTTCTATAACATATTCACAGTAAGTTTTTGAATAAAACTCAATCACAATACATATTATAATAAGTCTTTGAGTAAAATTTAATTACAATATAACCTAAAAATAACTTGTTTCATTTTATATAGTTAACACTTTTTAATTTTAAATTATCAACCTTTTGTCTCCAAAACATACTTACGATAAATCTTTGAATAAAAAATGATCACAATATAACCTTGAAAGTTAACAAGTTCAAGTTATTTGAGAATGATAGGAAATTCTCATATCTCTATATTTTTTATAAAAGGAACATTAAAGTCATTTCAAAAAATTTTAAACCCTCTTTAGGTCATGTTTCCTAATTAGGAATTTGATAAATTCAATGATCCAAAAAAACTTTAAATTATTGAAAGGGAAAATGACAAATAAAGAAGGTTGAAATCAGGATATCCCAATTTGGGAAGCTAAGGGTTGAAAATCACATAGAGGAAAGTTATTCCCAAATTAAAAATTTGAAATTAGGAGAAATGACAAAAATGCCCCTTTTTTCAACCCACCACCAGTGACTAACTGCTAGCCATCGCTCCGGTGCTAGCCATCGATGTGGTGGCTATTGGCAAGGTGCTTTTTGGTGACTTTTTTATTTATTTTGCCATATGAGAAATTATTTAAGGAAAGTGGTAGGGGTGGGATCTGATCCCACTACCCCTTGGTAATTTAGGTCAACAAAAAAAAAGGTGGCCCAATGGTAGTTTGTTAACCTTATAATGCAAAAAAAAAAAAAGTTGATTCTTTTATTGTAATTCCAACCTGTGACAACAATTTATTTGTAAATAACAAGTTTTGATGAGAAAATCACAAATCTAAATTTGATATTAACAAAACATTTTTTTATATATAACAGGAAATAACATGTGCATTAATTAAAAATGACAACAATTTACTTGGAAATGATATATCTTGATTGAGAAATAATAAGTTTAAACTTGAGATTAACAATGTGTTTTTTCCTAATACATAACAGGAAATAACATGTGCATTAATTAAAAAATGAAAACAATTTATTTGGGAATGATAAGTCTTGATTGTGAAATGATAAGTTTAGATTTAGAATTAACAGGTTGTTTTTACCTGATACATGCATAACGTGAAATAACATGTGAATCAATTAAAAATGACAACAATTTATTTGGGAATGACAAGTCTTGATTGAGAAATGAAAATAAATTGTTGTCATCTTTAATCAATGTATATGTTATTTTCTGTTATGTATCAGGAAAAAAACATTTTATTAATTTCAAGTTTAGATTTGTCATTTTTAATCAAGACATGTCATTTCCAAATAAATTGTTATTATTTTTAATTAATGCACATGTTATTTCCTATTATGTATTAGGAAAAACGTTTTGTTAATATCAAATTTAGACTTATAATTTCCCAATCAAGACTTGTAATTACTAGATAAATTGTTGTCATATACTGGAGTCATAATAAAAGAGTCAACTTATATATTTTTTTGCATTATAAGGTTGACAAACTATTGGTGGCCTAATGTTCACCTTCTTTTTTGTTAGCCCAAACAACCAAGGGGTAGTGGAATCAAATCTCATCTCCATCACTTTCTTTAAATAATTTCTCACATGGCAACAAAAAAAAAAGTCACCAAAAAGCACCTTGTCAGCAGCCACCATAGCAGTGGCCAGTGCCTAGTCATCGACAGTGGCCGACAACCATTCGCCGGCAGTGGCCTGCTACTGGCGAAGGGTTGAAGCTTTAAAAAAAAGCGAATGGGCATTTTTGTCATTTCTTCTAATTTCAAAATTCTAATTTGGGAATAATTTCCCTCTCTGTGATTTCCAACCCTTAACTTCCCAAATTGGGATATTCTAATTTCGGCCTTTTTTATTTGTCCTTTTCCCTTAGTGAAATATCTTTTAAAGAGATTTTTCCTATAAAAATAATTTAATTTATACATAAAAAATGATCATGATAATAATCATTAGAAACATATCAATCTCTTGTCATTAGGCAAGTTGTCTCTCCCTCTCAATGGATTCTTCTTCAACAGAAGGAGACGCCCTGCTTTTTGCTGGTTTCTTTTATGTGTGTGTGTGTTTTTTTTAATGGATTCTTATTGATTTATTTGTTTTTGTGGCAATAATCAAATTTGAAGGTTTCAATGGCGACATATATAACTTGGTGGCTTCGATCTGTGTTTTTAGGGGGTTGGGTTTTTGATGTACATGATCCTGCATTTTGATGGGTCCATCTTTCAAAGGACTATTGTTGGTTTTAGGGGTGGTGAGTATGAAATGCTTGTTGGGGACCATAATGAGACCACTTTGAAAGTGTTTTTGTTGTGCAACTTATGGTGAGGACACTTTGGTCTCATTTTTCATTTTCCTTGTTGGTGCCCATTTTGCCTCTACATGATATTCTTATGGGGTTTCTTCAATTTGGTAGAGGCAAAAATAGACTCCCCTTTAACTAATTTTTTTTTTTCGTACAAGGGAGGGCCTAGCCCAAGAGAAAAAATCAACTCATAGGGGGATTGAATCGCAAGCAATCTCTGTGCACACAAGCCCTTAAATCACCCAGGCACACATCAAAGTATGAAGGAAAAATTGATTCCTTTCTTTGCTAGCCCATCAGCCACCTGATTCTTGTTTCTTGCAACATACTGTAGCTTGACTTCCTAATCATATCACAATAGATTTTGAATCTGCCAAAGTATAAAGCCGCACTCGTGTTTGCTGTTTTTATCTATCAACATATCAATCACTCTCTTAGCATCAAGTTCAAGTACCTATTTAAAGCCAAAATCCTAAGCTAAATTCAAGCCTTTAAAAATTACCCATATTTCAGCCTCCAACACACTGCATTTACCTATGTAAAAAGAGAACCCCATGATCCATTTCCTATTATGGTCTCTGATAGCTCCACTACAGCCAGCCATCTCTGAATTTTTTGCTACAGCTCCGTCAACATTAACTTTAACTCAACCTTCAGGAGGACAAGCCCAAACAACATCCCTACTTCCTTGTGCTGATTCAATTTTTCCTACTGGTTTAGATATGCTAACAACATTCCGCCAACTATGAACAATTACTACTCCGATCCTTAATATAAGACCCATTTAACTAATTTGATTAGATTAAGGAAGTTAGGTAAGATAATTAATTATAAGAAATGTGACATGTTTTTCTTAAAACACCATAATCATCTTTCTTAATACTTCCTCTCCCTCCTCTATTTGATTATGATTGAGGGAGTATTCACAGGGGTAACTTAGAGAAAATTGGTAAATATACGAAGTGGGTCTTTAGGACCAAAACTAACTCAACAATTGGGTCCTATATTGAGGACCGGAGGAGTAGATTAGTTGGGTTTGAAGGCTTTAAAAAATTCTGACTAAACGTCTCTTCATTCCTCCATAACCAGAGCTTCCAAACAGTAACTCCCTACTGTAAATCCCAATTCATCTTTCCATCTCCACTTAAATTTTCCTGCAGATTCCAAGCAATCCAATCCTTACGAGATAAATTATAAAATTTGTCCAGCTTAGAAGGTTGGACAAAAGAATTCCATATTCTCTGAGCATAGATATAGTCTCTCAGAATATGTAAGATGTCTTCTACTCCAGTATTGCAGTGGTGGCATAAAGGAGAACATTGAGACCATTTACTCCACCAAAAGATTTGTAGGGAGTCTACCATGAAAAATCCTCTAGATGAAAACTCTTATCCTTTCAGCTCCTTTCCATTTCCAAGTAAGTTTGAAAATGGGACTATAGAGAGTTTTAGGGTTCTTTTCAATTAAAAAATAAGCACTATTCAGATTGAAACTTCCAGAGCTCGTTGCTTTCCAGGAAAGAATATCCTTCCTTGCTTCTTGAAAAGGAGGCAAAAAACTGATTAACCTGGAAATAACATCAAAATTGACCACACCAGATAACTTTTAAAGTTCCAAGTATTATGAGTGTCCCAATCTACTACCACGCTGTTATTTTCTTCTAAGAAAGATCTCTTAAACACATATCCTTAATTTTCTTGTTAGGAAAAAGCTAGAAATCATTAAAAAAAAAACTTATAGATCTTCTATTTCTAAGTTGCCAGAAAGATCCTCTATCTATCATATCTTTTTGTTTGCAAAAAAATTTCCATAATTATGAGTCACCACAAAGTGCCGTTAATAAATTCTCCTTATTCTGTAGTAAATATTTCCTGTTTAAGACCTTAATCCAGAGCCCTTTTCTCATATAACTAGTCTTCAAGCGAGCTTTGCTCCACAAGTGAAATTAAGTGAAGAGAGCCTTTTGAAGCCAAGACCCCCAAAGGACTTTGGCAAAGAAATAACATTCCATCTGATAGGATGATACCCGTGTTTATCTTGATTATGACCCCATATAAAACTCCTTTGAAGTTTTTCCACTTCCTTATAAATTTTCTCAGGAATTTGAGAAACTTGCATCAGATAGAAAGGAATTGAACTCATCACGGATCTTGCTAAAGTGATTCTGACGACAGTAGAGAGGCATTCAGCTTTCCAGTTAGTCAACTTTGTTCTCACTCCATCTATAATATACTGGAACTTTTCAGTGGTTTTCCTATTCTTTGTGAGTGGAAAACCTAGATATTTCCCTATCTTAGAAGAAATTCTCATTTGAGTAATCTCTCCAATCTTCTTTTTTAGATGTGCATCCCCTTTAAGAGAAAAACATATAGAAGATTTACTTCTATTTAATATTTCCCTTGAAGCCTTAGAGAAAATATCAAGAGCTTCCACCATACAAATCGCTTGGGATTCAGAGGCAACACCAAACAATAGTAGATCATCTGCAAACTTTAAGTGAGAGACTGTTAGGCCCTCTTTAGAGACATATATTGGCTTCCATTTACCAACATTTACTACATCACACATAATATTAGATAATTTGTCCATACAAAGGACAGAGAGGAGAGGGAAAGTAGGGTCTCCTTGCTGCCATCCTCTCTTTGGAGCAAAATACTCTGTCTTGTCACCATTCCACAAAACATTGTACTCAAAAGAAGTTACACGAGACATCACAAGCTGCACAAACTTCTCCTCCATACCAGCTTCATACAAGACATTTTTTAGAAAATTCCAACTAAGTCTATTGTAAGCCTTTTCCAAATCAATTTTCATTGCTACAAAACCCTTTTCCCTTTCGCCTTGCTCATGACATGAAGCAGTTCTTGCCTAATGATGACATTATCTTGAATATGCCTCCCTTTAATGAAACTGGCTTGAAAGGGGGAATCAAATCATCCATACCAGTTTTCAATATCTAGGTGATCACCTTAATAATGCATCTATAATGGACCCAACAAGTGAAATCGGTCTAAAGTGAGTCACTAAATCTAGGTTCTCTCTTTTTGAGATAAGAGAAATCGAAGTCTTATTAGACTCCTCAATTGAAATATCATCTCTGAAGAAAGCTTTTAACAAAATTGCAGAGAGCATGACCCACCACTTTCCAATTATGTTGAAAGAAAATAGGTGAAAAGCCATTAAAACCTGGGGCTTTATAAGGACCCATGCAAAAAGAGCCTCTCTAATTTCTTCATTTGTAGGTATACTACTAAAAGTGTTTAGAATAGAATGATGAACAACAAAAAAATTTGTTTCAGTCTTCAAAATATCATTACTAGTAGAATCCAAATAAAAAAGGTGATTAAAATAAGAAACAACCATCTTTTTTAGGTTCTCATCCCCTTCAATCCACTCGCCTTGATCATTTTTTAGAGCTAAAATTCTGTTCCATTTCCTTCTTTTATGGGTCTTAAGATGATAATATCAAGTATTCCTATCATCATTAGCAACCCAATTGGATTGAGCCTTCTAGAACCACTTAATTTCCTCTTGTTTTAAAATTTCATCTAGTTCCTGCTGAACTTGCAATTCCAGTTTATGTAAAAAGTTTGAAAAAGGATAAGCCTAAGGCTACTGAATCCCTTTCAATCTATTAAGAATTACTGTTTTTTTTCTTTTCCACAAAGCCAAAGACCTCTCTATTCCAAATAAGAACAGAGTTTTTAAAATTATCCAAACATTTACTAAGATTACTGTAGTCTTTTTAAGTATCTTTCATAAAAGAATTGAAGCTTTTATGTTTAATCCACATAGCTTTAAACCTAAAAGGTTTTTCACCTCTGAACTCTAAACCAAAATCATTCAAAAAAAGCGTTAGAGGGTTATGGTCAGAGAATTTTGTACGCGGACATACCTTTACCAGATAATTGTTGAACAAAGCCATGAATAGCGAATTCCCCAAAGCTCAATCCAATCTTTCATAAAGACTTGAATATCCTCTTATCAAAGGACCCTTCCAGGTAAACTTTGGACCTTTGAAGCCCAAATTTGAGAAGCTGCAATCTCAAATCCGTTCATTGAACCACTTTGTTCTATTAGCATTTAAACGAACACCCCCAGCATATTTAGAAGCATTAGCAATATCATTGAAGTCATCATACACCACCCAAGGTTCTGAGATATTGGTCTACAGCATCTTCAATTCATTCCACAGAATTTTCCTCATATTAGAATGTGGAATTGTATAGATTCCCATTAGAAAGAAATGAGGCTGTCCAACAAAGTCACAACTCAAATGCAAAAACTGTCTATTTCGTCGAACAATATTTACATTAATAGAAGTACTTCTCTAAGCTATGGCTAATCCACCTGACTGACCAAAACTTGGAATACATTCCAAACAACCAAACCCAGAGAAGTAAATCTATGCAATTTTGATTCATCTTCATATTTTGTTTCGGATAAGATCAAAATCACTATCTTAGATCCTCCAAACACTGACCTTAAGTTTCTAGTGGGGTCCTTTCCACAGGCCCCCCTAATGTTCCAGTAGAAAATTGGATCCATAAAAAAATGATGGGCTTGGAAAAAGAAGGCCCAATTAGCACTATGTTGAGAACTGGGTTTCAAGAACCACTGACCCTTCACTATGAAAAAACTCATTAGTCTCCACATCAATTGGGCTAGGTATCAGCCCCATATTCTCTTTTGTGCCTTTATCCACATCTAGGTATTCACCAGGATCATGAGGCAAAGGAGAGTTTTCGGCACTATCATCCATATGCTCCCCTCCTATTTTTTCGGAAGAATCCATTTTCCCCTTTATGAAATTCCCTTGATTCGATTTTCTCCTTCAGTATCATCTAACATAAGCATTAAAAGCTTGTTTGTCCTCTTGTGATTCACAAACATATCTCGAGATCTCTTCTCACATTGCCCTGTTCTACTCTCTAGTGCACTCTGAGAAATTGCTCCTAGGACTACAAGTACTGCAAATCTGTTATTCTTGGTGTGCCTCTTGCTATTCGCAGCTTTTTTCTCTTTGACCTGGTGCATTTGCCATCTCTGAAGAAGCAAGTATGACGTTATTCTCAATCTCATTAGTGAGATTAAAGTGAATATTATTTTCCACATTAGCTAAAACGTCAAAACGTCTCCCTGATCTTGGTTGCCAGAAAATTTCCCCTGTTTTCTCCTTTCTCTTCTTATTCCGACGGATTTTTGTACAACATGCCAAGTATCTTGATCAGCTCTTCCCTATATTTCTACATTCATTGCAGCATTTGGAATTCCCATTTGATTCCCCCCATTCTCTCTCTTAGCAAATTCTGTGGCAATCTTCATTTCAGGACATCCTTCACTATGCTAACCGTAAACACTGCAATTCAAACACAAAGAGTGGAGACCCTCATATTCTAAGTAACAATCTTCACCATCTAAAGAGAACCACGATAATAATTGTTTGCCTAAATCAATTAGAGCACATATTCTAGCATAATGACCTCTAAGTTGAGATGAGGTATTGACATCAACTTTCAGAGTCTCTCCAATCCTATTTCCAATGATGGTTAGTGCCTCTGCATCATAGTACTCTAGACACACTCTTGGAACACGCACCCATGCAGCTACCTTGTCAATCTTAGCTCTAGCAGGATTAAAATTAGGCTCCCATGACCTCACTGTAAGATAATGATCATAAATCATCCATGGGCCTCCTGTTAAAGCATTGAAATAGTCTTCCCTATTTGATAACTTCACTACTAAATAACCATATCCAATGTTTATCAAATTGATCACTCCTCTTCTGGCCCAAAGAATTTGTAATCTAGTTTCTAAAGCCTTGTAACCAATGCTTCTATCCAATAACTTCACTATTACTACTTTCCTCCATGCCCTGTAAAGTCTTTTTTTCATCCTTATAGAGAAATGGAAGGTAGGAAAATTCCTCTTTGGATCTTCCCTGATTTTAACTAGAGACTCCTTCTTCTCAGCTTCTGAATCTAAAGGGGAGTAATCAGACATACTGTCATAAGCTAAAGCATCTATCTTATCATCTTTGTCATTTGAATTATCCTCATGACTATTAATACCCTTCAAGGTATCTGCAAATGATAAACTAGTATGTTTTTTAGGCACATTACCAGTTCCAAGTGTCGGCCAATGCTGCAATCTTGAGTTTTCCCTTTTCTCTAGACTCTCATTCTTAATCTTCTTAGAGCTTCTCATGAGGAGATCATCTTCTTCCGTGGAGGGAGGAATGGTAGTAGTAGTCTTCCTAGCACAAACAAGCGCCGTCTTAACTTAAAGTTCAATATGCCTTTGAAAGGAATAAGACGAATTGGCAAACATCACAAGTGAAATTGTCTCCTTTAACTAAACAAGTTTAAGCCTAATCGAGCCTATACTTGTATGTGGGCCTTTTTTTTAGGTTTACGTTTAACCCTTTAAAAAGCCTAATAAGACTCGAAATGTTTTTAAAGAGTTACTTAAAATATAAGTCTTTAATTAATAGAGGTTGCGTTAAGTGAAAATTGCTAATCTCTCATAATATGATGAACTAAGGTTCAAATTTTGTTAGGAGAGATGTCCATTGTTAGTGCTAAACAATGATTCAAACTAGATTACCCTCAATATGAAGATATTTATGCCTACCGAAAAAAAATATAAGCCTGTAAATATGCTAAAAAAACACATATGCTTCTAATTATGTATATAATCCACATTATTGCTTAATTGGTTTTTAGTTATTGCTTAATCAGTTTTTTGGGCCAAAGCTTGGGAGTGTTTGGCATCCTTAAAAAACACTTAAAAAAAATTATTTCACATAAATCAAGATAAAATTCCTATAACATATTTATCTTGGACTCCATAAAATCATTTCTAAAAAGTGATTATTCACACACACAAAGGATAATACTCGGATCAAATTTCTTATACCATCTCCGTTTTTAATATAAGAGTTAATTGACTAATTTGAGTAGATTAAGGGGGTGTTTGGATAACCCCAAAAACACTTCTCAGAAGTACTTTTCCCCAAATCGAGACAAACTCCTTTACATATTTATTTCGTGTACTGTAAAAATATTTTTAAAACCATGGTTTTGTTTCTACCTAAACACTCCCTAAGAAAGTTTGTTAATTTAGTTATTTATAATAAATATATTATTTTTTCTAAAATACAATTACTAATCAAATATATTAGTTGAAACTATCATGATAAATATGATAGACAAAGTGAATTGAGGTATTATATTTACGACCAAATTGAATATCAAACTAACTTTTATATTAAAGATTGGAGATAATAGTTATAGTGTCAAATTCTCGAATTATACATCTCATGCATCTTCTTTTTTATGTATGAATTTATACTTTAATAATAATATTTTAAAAATAAAACACATCACTCTATATAATGAAATAATTTGACATAATGAATATAAAGTACTTGACATGAGCAATTTCATTATATGCTTGTGGGTGTGTTTTGGCAAACAAATACACTTATATATTCTCCATTTTTTTGCCAATATATTCTCTAATTCTAAACGATTAGCTAGGTTTTTAGGGGTGTTTGTTTTTAATCTTACGTACAATATCTTAATTTACTTTATTTTCTAAATTTATAAATTAATTTACTTTATCTTCTAAATTTGTAAATTTTTTCTAAGTTATTCATATTAATTGCATACATAAAAAGAGATTGCTACACTTAAGGTAATAATTTCGGTTTTCCTACTGTTTCCCTGGTAAACATTTTCCCTCGTTTTTGTGTCTCCCCCTCTCTCTTTTCTCGTTCTCTGCTATGCCATCGAGTAAGGCCAAATATTTGACCAAAAAGGGCCCAATACTATGCCACTACGAGTTCCACAATGGGCATTTGTCTTGTATTTTCGTTTCCTTTTTCTTTAGCTTTTCAATGCTCCTAATATGAGCTCCCAATGGGAGTTGGATCTAACAAAAGCAATTAGCTTTTCATAATATAACGAATCAAGATTCGAATCCCTATTAGAAGAGGTACTCATAATTAGATTCTGTTTGATACAAAGCATTAAAAATGAAGGATTGAAATTGAGATTGCAATTGAAAAAAATCATTAAAATAGTATTTATTATAAGTAATTACTTATTATATGGGATTAAACAAACCCATAGAGGTGGGACTAGAAAATATCACTTTTTCCCATGGTATTCTCCAATCCCACATATATAAGTTTAGCTAATCCCATATAACAAGCAATCTCTTTTACTAAATACTCTTTTAATAGATTTTCTCAATTGCAATCCCAATCTTAATCTTTCATTTTCAATGCTTCCTACTAAACATAACCTTAGTGCCTGACAGTATTTCGAATAAAATTACCTCCAATAGGAAAATATCTATGCTTTAGTGTAAAAAAAAAACATGTTCCTGGTATGAGTTGAACAATGCTTGGGTGATTTCTGATTTGGCATTTGTTAGCAAGGATGATATTAGAGGGAGGGCATATATTTTATCGGATTGTCCCCCAAGGAAGGGAGGGCATATATATATATATTTATATAAGCGGACATTTTAACAGGACAACAAAATGAGCAAGCACGCACGATTGAGGACAAACTCGGAGTTTCGCATTGCAAGCATTGACCTTTTTTTTTTTTTGGCTAATTGTGTATTCACATTTTTTTGGTCCTTTGGGGAATCCAATAAAATTGGAAGTATTCACCTTTTTTCAAAAAAATAAAAATAAAAATATTAAAGAAGCTAAATAAATTATTTTAAAGTATTTATATTTATCATTTTTTTCCAAACTAATTTGCTTAACTAATATATAATCTAATGACACGTAAAAGTATTTTAAAAACACCATGCAACATATGCTATAATTAAAAAATTTACTTAGTTTTTTTATTTTCTCAAGTACTTAGTTTTTTTATTTTCTCAAGTTAATCAACTAAATTTTATATTAAAAGATAAAAGTTAGTATTCCTCCTGTCCTAAATATAAGACTCTTTTTGTAGTGTAGTTCACTACACTACAAAAAGAGTCTTATATTTAGGACCGGAGGAGTATTAAAAAAGATAGTCACAGCTGAACAAGGGAGAAATACATAGTCAAAGAACGGAGAAAACCCAAATACATATTACCCTTAATCCTTAATCAAATGGCCGAAAAAGGTATAGCTGTTGATTTTAATGAACTCTAATTGTAAATTTGTGAAAATCAATAGTAAATGGACGTGTTGTTATTATTATTATTATTTGAATAAGAGTGTGTGAGAAACATAAAGGCTAACTAGCTAAAGGAAATCGATGACAAAAATTTTTTTTAATAGAATGATTCATATTTTGCATGAGAAATATTCATGATGAAAGATTTTTTTTTTTAAATGGAAACTGAATACTACTATAACAACAGCGAAAGAGTATAAATCAAAGGATCCTCTGATCCTTCATCCGCATCCGTCTCCTGAATAAAAAGTAGAGGCTAATGAAGGATGAGATAATTCTCACTTATAGTGTGCGACATTCTAACAAGATGGTCAGATAAACATAAATCTTCTCTATGGATATGAGTAAAAGTAACTTACCAATCTCCATAAACTAGTAACCTAACAATGACAGATTCAACCTTGATGATTCAAAAAATTGGCATAACAATTGACTTTTACAATCCAGTCACACATAATAAAAGTGGCGAATCTGTCTAATTTGGTCATTGAGAAAATTATCTTGAGGTAGGTCGCTTGATCAATTGCAAAGCTTCTGTAAGCTCGTTTTTTTTGCCAACAATAATTCATTCCATAATAAATCAACAGTACAAAGTCATGTGAGAACACCATCAAGCAATAAATATCACCCTACATTAGTTTTGGCTTTGCATAAATCAGATTCTATAAGTTTACGCAAAAGAGGTGGCGGTCTCATTACCCAATCAGTCGGGCAAGACCCAGCCAAAGAGGCTCTAGCTAACCAATCAGCAACAGAATTTGCCTCTCTCGGGATCCAGCTACACGAGTGGCTCCTTAGACGATTCCTTGAGAATCTTAGTTCCTCCAACCTGGACTAGGGGCATTGTTGTTCAAGCAGTTAATCAGATTTTGGTTGTTAAAGCTTCTGTAAGCTCGTTAAAGATGATAATTTTGCAATAACTGTAATTCCTACTAATTAAGGCAAAGCCTTTCGTAGATTCCCATAATCTTCGTGATAAGAGGAGAAGTGTAACTTTTTTTTTTTTTTTTAATTTTGGGGTGAAACCAAATATCCAAGTTTCCTTGGTGTCTCGAATGGAGGTGTTATTTGGTACAACAATTGACTTGGAATCACAGCCGCGTGGTAGTTTGGTACTTGGTAGGATGGTAGTTGGATGTGAAAGAGCAACCCTGAACGGATTAGAATTTACTACCTCCGGTCTTTAATATAAGATCCTGTTTAACTTTTATTTTGGTCTTAAATATAAGATCTCAATCCACTTTGTCTCTCATATTTACTCAATTTTTTCTAAGATAGTCCTTCTAATAATTATAGTTCTAGTCAATACACTTGATTAGCAAGGATATTTTAGGAAAGACAATACATATTTAGGACAAATAGCTAACTCAACTTACTTTCTTAATCTCCTCAAATTAGTCAACTAGCCCTTATAATTAGAACCGGAGGTAGTATATATTATTCTAATATTAAAAACATCAATTTTTTTTTTCAATATGTAAAACTATCAATTTATATCATTTTTATGTTATGTTTCTACACATCTGTTATCACTACATATTTTTTCAGCTTAAAATATACTCCTCCGGTCCTTAATATAGGACCCAATTGTTAAGTTAGTTTTGATCCTAAATATAAGACCCATTTCTCATATTTATCACTTTTATCTAAATTATCCCTATAGATACTCCATCAACTATAATCAAGTAAAAGAGAAATAGGGGTATTAAGAAAGATGATTATGGTATTTTAAGAAAAACGTGTCACATTTCTTATAATTAACTAATTTACCTAACTTCCTTAATCTAATCAAATTAGTTAAATGGGTCTTATATTAAGAACCGGAGGAGTATCTTTAATATTTTATATTTATGTTGAGTTTAGTTTAGCTTTTAAGTTTATAAAATGTATTTTTATTCCTTTATTTTCACACCATTAATCTTATTGATGAAAAAGGTTAACTCTATAAATTTAAAAGACTTCACAATTAAATGCTAACATATTAATTTAAAATTTGCGAATTGAAAAAAATTAAAATAAAACCTCATGAAGTTGTTAAACATTTTTCATATCAATAGCCCCATCTTTGTGAATTATTCTATGCTTTCACCTCAACAACTCATCCCTGCGAATGTCATTCTCCTAAGTTCCATTTTAACTTTAATATATAAAAATTATATTAAAGGGAAAGATTAAAAATATAAGAATATAAAATATTTCAGCGTAATTTTTTTTAAAAATAGGAAAATATCATATTAAAGGATAAATATTTAAGCAGGCTTTTTCTTATGTAAATTTTTTTTGTAAACATTTTTTGTTAATAAAATTAATTGTATAAAGATTAAGAAATTGAAAATTAAATTTATATATTTGAAGGATTAAATTAAAACTTTTTGTTAGCTTAGAGGCGAAACTATGCTTTAACGTCTTCTCATAAAATAAAAAAATAAAAATCTTATTTTATCTTTTGAGATTTCTAAGTACGCTTTTTCATATTTAAATTTGTTCGATCAATTTTTTTTAATGACATTAATGATATTAAGATTAAGAATTGAAAATACAGTCTATAAATTTAAGGGGTTAAATTTAGAGGACCAGAGGTGTATTTTAATAATTTTTTATAAAATAAAAGGAGATAAAATAATTATTTTTATTGTATCTCAAAATTTCGTAACCATAACTTATTTTATGGAAATTATTATTATTATTTTTTGGGAAATATGAATCTGCGGTGCCCACAATCCCACATCCCCATCTATCATTTTCATGAGGATGAATGAAGAGAGTTGTTATTGGCAACTTTTCTTAGGCCCATGACAAATCGATAATATAGCCAACCACACCTCAAACACGTGGCATCGCATCCTGATCATCGGATTAGGTGTACCTATGCGTTTGTTTACTTTGCTAATTTGTCTTCATCAGTCTTTTCATATTTAATAGGGATTTTTGGCCGAAGCTTACTTAGCGGCTTGGCATTCCTCAAAAAGAAATTTGAAAAATATTTTAAAACAAGCTGAGATAAAACTTATTTTATATATTTATTTTGAACTCCGATTATTCACACACGCAAAGGATAATACATAGATTAAATTTCTTATATTATATCTATTATTAATATAAGAACTATTTGATTAATTTAAGTAGAATAAGAAAGTTTGTTAAGGTAGTTATTTATAATAAATATATATTATTTTTTCTAAAATATTCTTACTAATCAAATGTATTAGTTAGAACTATCATTTGATGAAACATTTATTTTGAAAAAAAATACATAAATATGAGAAGCAAAGTATATTAAAGTTTTATATTTAAAATCAAATCGAATGTCAGACGGGTTCTTATATTAAGGATTAGAGATAATGTACCCGTTTGGAACAGCTTATAAATAGCTTATAAGTAGCTTTTTAATAGTGATTTATGGAATACGAAATAAGTATGTGAGATGAGTTTTATCTCGATTTATGTGAAATATACTTATGAAGAATTTCTACCGCTTTACCGAACGGGCCAAGTATTTATTGTGTTAAATTCTCAAATTATACATCTCATGCATCCGATTTTTTTCATGTATGAATTTATAGTTCAATAATAATATTTTAAAAATAAGACATATCACTGTATGTAATAGAATAATTTGATATAATAAATGTAGACAACTGGATTTGGGTAATTTCGTTATATGCGTGGGTGTGTTTTGGCCAAACAAATACATATATATATTCTCTCTGTTTTTTTTTTTGGTTGCCAACATACTCTCTCTCTCTCTCTCTCATTCTAAACGATTAGCTAGGTTGTTGGGGGTGGTTGTTTTAATCTTACGTACAATATCTTAATTTGTTTTATTTTTAAAATTTATAAATTAATTTATTTTATCTTTTAAATTTGTAAATTTTTTCTAAGTTATTCATATTAATCGCACACAAAGAAAGAGATTTCTATTCTTAAGGCAATAATTAAAAAATATATTTTATAAAAAAATAACAAACATTTATTACAAATAATTAATTTAATTAATCTATTAATATGTGCATAAACTAAATTTACAGACACATATTACATATAAGACTTTTTTGGGGTGCATTTCCTGTGATGTAAATTTTTGAGGTGCATACTTTGGCCGTTGATTGAATCAGAACAATTTCCTAATAGTGTTTTTACGAACTCTGGAATCCCCTTTCTAGTAAAAAGTATAATTCTGTCTCGTCCGAGTGCCCCGCGAAAAAAACGTGATGATCCATGAAACTAAATAATTAAAGGGCTTAAATTACAAAAATTAATTTAATTTGAACTAGTCTAGTGTCTTATAACTGGTAACATGAGTTGAATCCACGGATTTACCCGTTAACCCATAAAAAATGATGAGTTAGGATTGGCTAGAAATCAACCTGTCAGTAAATAAAACTTTTCAACCCGCATTGTCTAACTCACAACTCGCTGTAGGTTAACTTCTGGGATTTATTTATTTATTTTTGTATTTTTAAAATTTTATTAATTATCATATGCATATTATTATATTTTATATTTTATCTAAAAAATTTTTAAAAAATACCTATATAATTTATTTGGTGTTTTTAATTAAGTATTTGAAAGAAAGATAAATTTTTTTATATTGTATAAAGTAAAATATTTACAAAATGAAAAAAATTAAAAAAAAATAATAGTTGGCGAGTTGAAAGGCCAACTCGTCAATCCACTGTAACAAGTTAAAATTGGCTAAAAAAGAGCATGTGATTTACATAGGGTTTTTTCAACCCGTACTACTTAATTCTAACCCACCACGAGCTAATTAGCATATTGTCTGTATTATCACCCCTAATGTGCCTTATAAAATTGAGTAGGACTTGATTCAATCTAAACATTTTTTCAAATATATACTAAATTAATGTGACGAGCTAGCCTAAACGCAGTGGTCAAAATATGTCCTGGGAGTGCCTTCATCATTAGCTCCTTTCTTTGTTTTTTTTTTTTTTTTCCGGGTTGCCATTTAAAGAATTTAAAATCAGGCATATTATATAATATCCGGTAAAAGAAAAGCATGCTGTTAAATTATTTATAGTTTATAAATAGAAATTTTATATTAAAATTGATCCTAAAGAGTAATAAAAATGTTAGATATTTAAATAGAAAACCTCCATTGACTCTGCGCATTCGCACTTCATATCTCGGCGGAAAAAGAAGCTACTCCCTCTTATTCTAAATATAAAATTTATTTTATAATGTAATTTATACTATAAATGAGTTTTATATTTAAGACGGAAGGAATATTTTTTCTTTAGGAAGTGGGGATGTAACATGCTGTGAATATATATATATATATATATATATATTTATTCCGTTACCTCATTATTTTTCCTTATGGATATGTATATATATAGACTTATAATTTTATATCTGTAAACAGAGGCCGTCAAAAGAATTTCTCTTAATATGACCATTTAATTTCTGTGTCTTTTTTATAGTTTTAATTATTCATGGCATACTAATGGCAAAAAAAAAAAAATCATGGCATACCTCTTATTCTACACTTTTTTTTTTTGGTTATAGAAGAAAACAAAACGAATATCCATGAACCAACAATTTAGATTAGTAACTGAGGTGAAAAAATAATTAATAACGAGTGACCACGTTCTAAATAAAATCATATTTGGCTTTTTTTTTGCCATTCATATTTGGCTAAAATTTTGGAACATTATATGTGTGTAGGCATCAATTTTATCGTTCCAATTATATATAAACATAATTAATGTTTCATTTCCTTGGCCAAACATGTGTGTTCGGGCAACAAAAAGAGGAAAAATAAATAAAAGATGAGAAAAAGAAAGGAAGGAGAAAAAAATGGAAAAGCCAAACGGAGTAACTCTGGGGCCGGACTTATTTTTTCCAGTGGGCATCGACGATGCGTCGGAAGTTTTCGAATCTCCACACTGAACTTCACTGGTTCGTCTAAAAGCGACCTATAATTCATCATCATCCTCTTCAGAAAATACGGAGTTTCCTCTTGTTCTGAGAAGATTTTAGCTCCAATAGTAATTCCTAGAAGGAAAAGAGTTAGAAATCATGTCTGGATGTTGCAGCTTCACTGCCTCCCGTGACCGGTGCTACCGCTACTCCTTCTCCAACGCCGGCCTCAAATCGGCCACGGCCGATCTCGGCGACGGTACGATCATGCATTGCTGGGTCCCCGGAACCCACAAGGAGTCCAAGCCTACTCTGCTTCTTATCCACGGGATCGGAGCCAACGCAATGTGGCAATGGAACGACTTCATTTCTCCACTAATCCGTCGCTTCAATGTTTATGTCCCGGACTTGGTTTTCTTCGGCGACTCCTACACGACCCGACCCGATAGGTCCGAATCGTTCCAGGCCAGGTGCGTGATGAGCCTTATGGAAGCTCACGGTGTGAGGAAAATGAACGTGGTTGGCGTGAGCTACGGTGGTTTTGTGGCCTATAGCATGGCCGCGCAGTTTCCAGAGAAGGTGGAGAAGGTGGTACTCTGTTGTGCTGGAGTGGCCTTGGAAGAGAAAGATATGGATGAAGGGATGTTTCAGGTGAAAAGTGTGGACGAGGGCGTGGATATTTTGCTGCCACAGACACCGGCGAATATGAAGAAGCTGATTCAGATGACGTTTGTGAAGCCTATGAAAGTTTTGCCTTCTTGCTTTCTTAGTGATTACATTGATGTAAGCGATTATGATTCCTCTCATTAAGCCTGCTTTCCTCCCTATGATTGCCTTGCTATAATTGTGTTCCTTACTTTTAGTCCGTTGATAACGGTTGCTTGAATTGTGTCATAAACTGGTTCCAACTGTTGAAGACTTTGGATAATTACATTGAAGATGAACTAAATAGGAGGAGGATAGGGCCTCGTGTTACTTCATAGATTGATCTGGTTGGAATATTATCAATTTTGATTTCCCCTTTTCCTCTGTTCAAGCAAAAGAACATGTATTGGCAATTTGGGGCTTGGCAGGTTAGTAATGCCGTGCAGCTTTGGTTCTTGTATTACCTGGAAGCAGCCCTTGGTGGTTATGGTCCTGATCCATAAGGTTGCCGAGAAATAGAAGCATTAACACACGAACAACTACAAGACCTATATTCTCTTCTGTCTTCAAAAAAGTACTATTCTGTAATGCTCTATGATAATGTTTTGATACATTCTTCGTGATGTTAGATTTCCCTGGATGGTGGGGAAAATTTTGTATGGTTCTGCAGTTAGGCACTAGTGGGACTGCTGGTTGTCTGGAGGAATCCTGTATGGAGTACTCTAAAGTAAACATTGAAAATGTCAAGTTGATATGTTGGGATGCTAATGAATGACACTGTTCTTTCATAAGAAAAAAATTAAAAGGAAGAATCATGGAGGATGAAGACATAAGGAATCAGGAAGAAAATGGATCTTATCTCCACCGTGCAATATTACTGTTATCAGACAAAACTGTCGTGAATGTCCTTAATCACCTAATTATTTGGCAATGCTTGTGTGATGGCTTACTGGTTGTATTATTCTTAAACTGAAGATAAGCTGTGATTGCCGGTATATAGTGTATCCGGTTTTGTAAATATTATAACCATGAACTGAAGATAAGCTGTGATTGCTAGTATATAGTGTCTCCAGTTTTGTAAATATTATAACCATGACCTTGTTTCTTCACCAAAACTTGTCTGCTGGCAGGTTATGTGCACAGAAAACCGCCAAGAGAGGAAAGAACTAATATATGCACTACACAAGGACAGAAAACTATCTGATCTTCCTAAGATTACCCAGGTTTCATTTTGGTTCCCGGTTTTATCTGGGTTGCTACACCCATTTTTTAAGTCTTGCTCTCGGTTTGTAACGTCTTAAAGGCATTAACATTCCACTTCTGCAGCCTACGTATATTGTCTGGGGAGAAAAGGACCTGGTATTTCCAATTGAATTAGCTTACAGACTGAAACGGTAATGTGAAGCTATCTATGTTCCCTATGAATCACATTTTATCTTCCATAGACTACTTTTCTTGAATTTACGCGCATGATTATGTGGAAGTTATAGTTTTCGCTCAAATGAACCAGTTCCTTGTTAGATAACCTGAGGTCATTGGAAGAAGGAGAAATACCAAAATGAAATAATCTTCATTCACATATCTACGTAATATGTGAAGTTGCCTTTCGTATTCCCACTTGCTTCTTTGCTTAATAAATGGATTTCATTCTTCTTGCTGCTGTGTAGGCATCTGGGAGATAAGCCGCAGCTACTGGTCATTAAGAACGCAGGACATGCTCTGAATATAGAGAAGCCCAAGGAGCTGTATAAGTGTTTAAAATCCATTCTGTTTGAGTCCTCAGTTCCAGTGAAGCAAGAAAACCACAGTAATGGTTACAAGGAGGACTAGAAAGTTCAAAATTGAGAAATGCAGAGACTGGTGTTATAGATTTGATTGTTTATCTACTTATTGGTACTCATTTAGGAGCCATGGCCGGATTATCTTGGGGATAGCTTGGAATTAAAATGTATGGCTCTTATACAGTACTGGCTTCTAGTGGTTCTCAGAAAAAGGAGTAAGATTTTCACTTCTCCCAGTTTAAACAGATAAAGATGAGGTCCAAGAGAGACATTTTAACTTCTGCTGAAACAGAGAAACAATTATAGTTTAGGATATGTATATCATTGGATGGTGCTTGCCGCAACATTGCAGAATAGTTCAAGTGTGTATGTATGATATGTGTGACTGGCTTGTTTGCCAGCTGAAATCTACATTTTTATTTGCATAGTCATCATAATTAGCATTGTTAATGTTCACAAAAGTCTTGAGCAGCGTGGCTTTCAACTTCAAGTTCTGTGCAGTGCATACTCAACAAGTACTTAGTCATCTAAAGTAACAATGGCACGATATGGCTGCAATTACTAATAGGGTTAAGGTGCGCTCAGCATTTCGAATTATTTTCCTAGGTGTGTCCAGTGTCCTAAAGTAATTTTCGATACATCTAGTGTCCTAAACTAATTAAAACGGTGATTTCATATCTCAGATTAACAGAAAAGTTAAGTTTAATCATTGCCTTGCTGACTTAGCCCAAGATTGAGTGAAAAATCTTACATGACAAACATGCAGGCGTCTGATGTGTATTATTTTAATGGTTTAAGGTGCGCTCAGCGTTTCAAATTATTTTCCCAGGTGCACCCAGTGTCCTAAAGTAATTTTTGGTGTATCAAGTATCTCAAACTAATTAAAACAGTGTATCCATATCCTAAGTTAATAGAAAAGTTAAGTTTGAGTGTTACCTTGCCGACTCAGTTGAAGGTTGACCGAAAAATCCTACATGGTGGACATATAAGCATTTGATGTGTATTATTTTGATTGAAAATTCAATTTATTTCTTCCTCTTCTAACGTTTATCTTCTGCCAGTTTTTAAACTTAAAAAAAAAAAAGACTACCGATCCACCCTTTTAAATCCTATTACATGTACTACTCATTCAATTCCATCCTCGTCTTTAACATTTTATCCAATTTTCTTCCACCATTTTGATTTGAAACCGCAACTGTCATCACAGCATACTTCTGTCTCTGTCTCTGTCAACTCCTCATCCGACTTGCATTTGCTTTCCTCCTCGTAGAACACAGTAAACTTCCCCTTGGTTATTCCCTCAACGTCGACATCGCCGTTGCCGTTACCTCCAAATAAAACACTTGCCGCCACCGGGCTCGTCTCGGGAGTTTCAGTCAAAATAATACATATTAGATGCTTGTGTATCTGCCATGTAGGATTTTTCAGTCAACCTTCAACTGAGTCAGCAAGGTAACAGTCAAACTTAACTTTTCTGTTAATCTGGGATATGGACGCACCGTTTTAATAAGTTTGGGACACTGAATGCACCAAAAATTACTTTAGGACACTAAGTGCATCTGGAAAAATAGTTCAGGGCGCTGGGCGCACCTTAACTCTTACTAATATGAGATGTTTTTTGAGATTTTAAAATTGCTTATGAGATGCTTGAATATAATAAATGTAACAAATTTTGTATTCCTAAATTCTATTTTCTGAATATTTTTTATTATACAAGAGAGGGCTAAGCCCGGCAAAAAACTAAAGCAAATGGGGATTGAATCACTCACACACTCAACTGATTATCTTAGATTGTGTTTTCTTTTTACAAAAATAAAATGGGCATATATATAGGTACCAAATATTGCTTAAATTTGGTTTTCTAATGATCAAATTTAAGTTCGGCCAACAGAAAAGAATCGGTTCAACATAGTTTTCCTCCCTCTTCCAACAAAGATGAATTATGTCTTGTGGGACAGTTTCCTCGAAGGGAAGGATGCATTTCCCTCCAAAGGTCAAAATAGAACTAAAATAAAATGAAAGAACACCACAAACACTCACGTCTTCTTGCCTTTTTCGTTCGTCCCCCCCCCCCCCCTGGTTGGTCTAAAGAATCCCGGTCTTCAATTTTCATTTGGCTCGATTTGTCCGGAGCTTCATTTTCTGACGGGCAAAAATCATTTTCTAGTGGGGCTTATTCCATTCACGAAGCTAGCCCGGAGTTTGAACTTTAAACGGGAAACCAACAAGCGACAGAAATCCTGGTGGCCAGATTATGGGAATCAATGACAGGATAGGCCTATTTTCGATGCCCAAGCCTACATTAAAGAAGTGGACGTGCATATTTATCTTTATTCTCTTCTTTTCTATTTTGCTTCACTTTTTACACATAAAAAAGCCGTTACTAGGTTCCCCTTCAAAGACTCTTTTTTTTTTTTTCCCCTCTCCTCAAACTTTTGAATGCGACAATTTAAATAAATATACCCTCCCCATAGAGGAGGAAATACACACTCCACATATTCATTAGGGACTTTCCCTCACCAAAAAAAAAAAAAAAGCTTACATCTTCCCTTGCCACCAGACTAACTAATGAGTTATCAAGTGCTAAAAATTCAGAAGACCTCCCTATTGAGCATCATAACTAGGTACCAAACAAGCTCTGCCAAGATCCAACTCCAAACACGATCACCTGCAAATTTTTGTCCACAATGTCATCAAAGATAATCTTTTTTTTTTTTCAACATAGACTAATTAATTTAATTTGTCTTCTTCCCTATTAAGCTAAAACATAATAGTTCCTACGTGTCTACTTTCTACCCACAATAAGTGAAGGCATTAAAAATATACTTGATCACAATCCAAATATTAAAAAAGATTTGCAAAAGGGATTAATTCCATTAGTACTTCAATCATGTTTAGGGTATCCAATTCTCATCATAGGGCTTTACATATGCCAGAATCAAGAAAGGTAAAAGAAGATTGAACAAGACGCCATAGCAGTGGAGAAAAGGAGGGGGAAAAACATACGGGTCGAAAAAGGAGCTGAATCGGAGGCCCAAAGGAAGTCCGGATTCTGATTTTGATTAGAGCAATCCAAGCTGGTGTTGAACCCGCCTTTACAAACACACACAAACGAATTCCCGGGCAAACTGTACCCGCAAATTCCACCACTAATCTCGCAACTGTTACACTTGCTGCTCACAGCGCTGTTATCTAAACTCCCAGAAGAATACTTCACAGCGACTCCATACTCCCACCGGGTCGGGTCGGTCGGGTTATCCCCCAGCGACATTACTGAAGTATAAGCCCGGCACTTAAGCGACCTCAAGTTCAATTCTCCCTCCTCGTCAAGATTCGCCGGCGAGTATACACAACAAGTATTGGTAGGAGCGAAGAGAGGCAGACCAATGGACACGACAGAAGGACAAGTGTACAACGTAGCACAAAGGTGGTCGTACGAAAGGTCGCAGATGGGCGTGTATTTGACGGCGAGGGACGACGTGGGTGGTTCGCAGGATAAGAGGATGAAGGTGGAAGAACCGAGCTGGAACGGCGTCGTCCAGTCTAAGCCAAAATTGGTGGGCGAGGTTTGCATGAATGTGCAGGTGGACATGCACGGTGGGGTGATAGTTATGGTGGAGGCGGTGTAGGATATGGTGGTAACAGGGTACGAGCCAGTGTGAGTAGTGAGGAAGAGCTGGTCGCCGCCAGTGGCGTTGCGTGAGCATGTTATGTATGGATGGAATAGAGGCGAGCCGCAGCCGGGGCCAGTGCCGAAGGGGTACTTTACGGGCGTGGAGCCGCATGTGTCCCTGCAGGAGACGGCGGCGCCGGTGGCTATCATTGGTGATGATAAGAAAAGGAGGAAGAAATGGATGAGGAGAATCGGAGAAGGAGGTGTCATTTGGCCTGGTTCAGCGACCTCTCCTTGACTGGGGCCTGATGGGGTGTTCGTTTTAATGTTCCAGCGGACTCTATTTTATGAGATCGCATCCACGGACTGTTGACACTGCTGTTGTAAAAACAACTGAGAAAAATTGACACTTCTGTAAGAATTGAGACTAAAATGAACTTTTGAGGGAATAAAGTCGTCAAAGGAAGGGAAAAGAGAAGGTAAGCGGGGGAAGCGCAACAGTAATATGACTTTCATGACCACGTGGAAGCAACAAGAGAGGGAGGGGGAAAATTAAAAAACAGAAAGGACAAATCCGACCTGCCGGATTCGAACCAGCGACCTAAGGATGACAGCTAGGAAACCCCACTACAGTCCTCCGCTCTACCAACTGAGCTAAGGTCGGATGATGAGGTGCGTGTGACCAATCAACTTAGGAAATCTTCGAAAACTAATTTTTTTTATAATGTCATGCTTAAAAAAACACATGTAATATGTTTAATGCTTCTGCTCGTTACTTAAGAATCAAATAGGAAAGCCAATTCTTTTGCTTCCCTAGCATTAATAGCAAACATATAATCAGATAGTTTCTTGTTTCAAAAAGATTTTGTTTTTAAAAACAAAAAAAATTTAGTATTTTGTTTTTAGTTGGTTGTTAGAAAAATAGTAATATTTTTTAAAAAATTTTTTCAAAGATATTTTTTGTTTTTGTATTTTTATTTTTTATTTTAAAAAATTGAAGAAATTTTCTTTTTTTCTCACCTACGACCCCAACTAGCTTTACTCTCCCTCAATTGTTGCGAAAAATATTAACCCACCTTTATCCTATTTTTTGAAAGGATGACAACTTCAGTTTTTATACCGTCAAACATGATTTCAATTGTCTCTTATCCTCCCAGGTCCTAATACTCTATTGATAGATCTTCATATCTTTTTTAGAAGTTTTTTGGTCCCGTTTGGTACGAAGCATTGAAAATAAGAGATTGAGATTGGTATTGCAATTAAAAAAAATTATTAAAATAGTATTTAGCATGAGTAATTGATTGTTATATGGGATTAGGCAAACCTATAAAAATGAGATTGGGGAATACCACTTCCTCTCCTAGTATTCTCCAATCCCACATATATGGGTTTGGCTAATCCCATATAACAAATAATCTCTTACACGAAACATTCTTTTAATAGATTTTCTCAATCCCAATTTTAATCTCAATCCCTCATTTTCAATGCTTCCTACCAAATGTAACCTTTGATCTATCATTTTCCTACAAGTAGTTGCTCTTCATTAGAAAGTTTTTTCATTAAGCTTTGCCCACATCATTTGAACTGAGTTTATGCTCATTCAGATGTAATGTAAAAGAATCATCAGTTCACTTATTTGTTACTTGCCCTTCACTAAATCAATCTGGTTCAATTGGCTTTATGTTAAACTTCAAACACATAACTTTGCATCCTTCTTATACTATGGCTCAAGCAAACACTTAGCAAACTACATCAAGATAGGCATCATGACGTGGTTTGAGGAATCATTATCTTGCACAATTCCATTCGGAACAAGAGGAACATTGTCATGCACAACAATATTATTTCAGCTCTTCATTTGACCATCAAAGAAATCATGTTCCATCCTTGTACATCTTTAGCTTTCTAGTCTTGTAAATTTAAATTACCTCATTTTTCTTCCTTTAGTAATAATATCTAGATAATTGAACACTTCAAATTAAAGAAGTGGTTATCCACAAGAAAGCTTATAGGATTCACTTCTGTCATATCTTAATTTGTTGTTTGGATGGCTCCATATGGCACTTCTATTGAAAGAAACTAACCAATATTTAGAATTTTTGTGTCATTGGTTTTAAGCAGCATTATATTTTTTCGCTATCAGTGACAACATTCTTAGTAATATTAGGGTTTCTTTATATATGTATTAGTAAGAAGCTATTTAATCTTGTTAAGCTTTCTTCTAATAACCTGTTTATGGTTTGGCAAGATATTAAGTGTTTAATTACTTTTTAAATTCTTCACAATAGCTTTAGTTGTAGGTCATTTAACCCATATCTATATTTAATGGGCGAACAGCCCAACCCTTGGAACATACTACAACTCCAAGTAGTGAAGAGCCAACGTCGAGGTGCCAAATCTTCAGTTTTAAGTTTTAAGCCCAAGTAGGATCATATTCTTGATATTAATAATAAATCTGTTTCGAACAGTTTATAAATAGGTTATAAGTAACTTTTTAATAGTAATTTACAAAATACGAGACAAGTATGTAAAATGAGTTTTATTTGAATTTATGTAAAATGTGCTTATTGGAAATTTTTACTGTAATTCCAGGCAGGCACAGTAACTCTCCTGAACGAGAGTAGGGAACATCGTATCCCAGTGTTCTCGAAACAGCGAATCACAGCTTCATTACATATTCAACTTTTTCAATTATCATTATTATTATTCTTCGGAAATGAAAACTCGACCACCGAATTGTTTCGTCCTCCAGCCAATTCGAGGATTCCAGTTTCTCTAACCTCATCCTCGTTTTGCTCTGACGCTCTCCACGATCCTTTGTCGTCCACGCGATATTCTTCATTCACTCTCCTACTTTCGCCCTTCATTCCTGCTTATCTTTCCCTGCCCTTCCCCTCTCTCTACTGTCAGAGAGAGCGAAGCGGCCGAGGTTAAGGGAAAGTCAAGCACCGACAGGTTTGTCTTTGTACTCCTACGTTTCAGTTATTGAAGAAAGTTCTGGATTCTTACGTATTTTTGTTTTCATGAATTGGACAATCAACATTTCTGGTCATAATTTTTATTCATTTGAAACACAAGGACATGAGTATACAAGCAGGTGGTCGTTTGATTTGTTTCTCTTTTTGGGAATTTTACTTGCTTGCAAGTCATTTGTTGCCAATTAGCGATTACAAAACGTATTTTTATGCTGCAAAGGTATTTTCAATGAGAGTTTCATTTATATTTCCTATTCGGTTTGTTCTGTACTCTTTTATTGCTAACTAGTCGAAGAAGCTTGTATGGTTTTGACAAAAAGTACTTTTTGTCACTTAAATTTGCGGTCAGTTTCTATTCGAACCCACGTGCATTTTATGTGTCCGTTTCCCCCCGCATTACCATTGTCTTCCTAATTTACTAACACCATCCAAGTTGTTCCTTGAATTAGCTGACCTATGAAATAAACATGAGCATGTTAAATAGAAAAACCGCATCTTGTTTGTTTGTTTTTTTTTTTTCCCCAAGCATATCCTTCCTCTTCCTTTTCAGGGCGTCCTAGGTCATATATTAGGCTGGCTACTCGTCTTTGCGACTTACTATTTGGTACTGCATCTTCTGCTGGCTACGTGTTCCACATGACTATTCTACTAACAATGCGGATTGCAATAGCCAATGTGATTCACATTGAGAATTTTTATAGCCATGTAACACTAATTTGGCAAAAAAATAGAAACGAATTTGGAAATGATAATTTGTCTAAAAAAGTTATTACTAATTGTTTTTGTTGGAGATGAAAAATGGAAATCATGTATGTATGTACGTGGTCTCGCGCATGTATTTATGCATGCATGCATGTATTATTTAGTATATATTAATGGGAAATTAAGGTGTGAGGTGCCTATAATAAAGGATAATATTGGCTGTGCTTTTTCTTTAGAATGGATCAATAAAAAAGAACTTAAAAAATCTGAATTCGAATGTAACACGTGTCAAAGATATGATATTTTATATTCAAAGGTATCTGTCTACATCTTGTTTGGGAATTGATATCATTAATAAGGTAGATTGGGAGAGGAAGATGATTTGAGCGGGGCCTTTATCAATATCTGACTATCTGTATGTTAACCGCCTTGTACTTATTATGATTATAGACTGTCATTTATGTATTTCACAGTCAGTCTTTTAGATTGTGAAACTTATGACCTAATTTTACTATTTTGTTTTAAGTAAATGATTTTTAAATTAGTCTTGTCTCCATCTTATTGGCTTGTGCGGCACATTGAACTACTTCTCTCTTTTTAAGCCGTGCACTAAAACTCTTAAGCTAGTGTCCTTCCCTAGGTTTTTACACATATTCAGAGTCCTTTTAAAAAAAAAAACTGTGTGTGTACGTCTGTGTGGCACTGTAAATTTCAGTCCATTAGCTATATAGCTGGCCGAAGATTATGAACAATTCTTATTGATTAACATATCCTCTTGTTGAAGGTATATTGGATGGCTGTTACATCTTTCGGAAGTACATCTGTTGCACAATGGGGAGTTCGTCCTCAGTTTTTCTTGAGATCCTGTTTGAGTGGAAAGGGTGTATCGTCTGGTTACGAGTGAGTCATGTGGTTACATATTTCAGTGGTAGAATGCAAGTAGTAAATTGCATGTGGTTGGTAGTCCAGCTGGTTTGGATTAGTATTGACATGAATATTTGTTAATGTGGTGTTGCTATGACATGTAATGATAGTCTGAGTTATTCAGCTCTTATGCATGATTTAGGCCAATGCTCTTCTGTGAACACTTTGGAGAATAGTGAAATTACTTTAACATTCTTTCCTCTCTCATATAAGTAACACAGATATAACCTTGATTTAGGTGTGCTTTTTTAACATGTGAGTAAAAGTTGTTGCATTGTTCTGATTAGTAAGAAACAGGGGCTGTTTTCTGTCCTGTCTGTGTTAACCTTCTGCAAATACCTTAGTCGACACATCCAATAATGTAGCATCGTTTATTGAGCTGAAGTGTAATTTCGTGAGTCATCAGTGTGTCAAGCAGGGTTAGTTTAATGGCTTCCGTGAGTTCAAGTTTTTTGTCTCGGGGTTCCTTGCACCTCCTATTTGGCCTGGGTTCATCTCAAACATTACATCGTCACAAGGGATCAAGGTTGATAGTTAGAGCAGATACCGTAAGTACCCACTACTCATGCTAGCCAACAATGAGTTTTTCTAGGGTTTTCCTATATGCTTGTACATTATGAAAATATCTCTTTCCTATTAAAGCACATGACTCTTATAAGTCAGAATGAGTATTTATTATGTTTCAAATTGCAGGATTACTATTCTGTCCTTGGGGTGTCAAGAAATGCCAGTAAATCTGAAATTAAGAGTGGTATTTTCACATTAGCTCTTCTTTTTTCGGACTACATGATTATATCTTCATTTTCCAATGTCAAATGATCTGCTTGAGTACACTTTGTTTCTTTTTTTTCTTTTTTTTTTTAGTTATCCACTTTTTTCATAGATTATGATTTTAGTATTGCAGTGGTTTCTATGTGAAGGAAGCAAAGTTGCTACATTGGGCTTCACTCTTTATTTTGTTCACAAATAAATTAATTTGCCTCCTTTTGTAAGCTGAGAGCTGGCATAATAATATCAATCAGATGATGTATATTGATGGAAGGCCTAATTGTGCTGTTGCTTAGTGCAGCTTAAATTTTCAAACTGCTGTATATGGAATACCAAAAAATGAGTGGGTGTGACTTTCCAAATCAAAGATCTCAAAATTGAAATTATTTGCAATGTTGATACCCTGATTTTTTCTATTTTATTGTATGGTGATGCTTTTGTATAGAATCAATATCAATTAACGTTCTGGTATACTTTTGACATTGCAGCTTATCGTAAACTTGCTCGGAATTATCACCCGGATGTGAACAAGTGAGTTTATCTTCTTTACTTTGTACATATCTTTATGGTCTCCTGTACTGATTCCCTCTCGTTCTCTTTTGGTAGCTTCCCCCTTTGATGTTTTCTATAATGAATCTGAACCTCTTGACTCTGAAATTAGGATCCTTGATTCATTGAGTACAACCATACTACTAATAGATAAGGGTCTTCACCTTATTGGTCAGCTTCTATCACAACTAATTTAAAGAGTAAGCAAAATGGTTTTAACGATGCCTTAGAAACAATCTGATAAGACCCAGAACAGAAATAGATCACAAAATGCAGAATATGAATAATATTAATCAAAACTTCCTTCTCAGTGGGACAAGGAAGAAGTTACAGACCGGGATACATCAATGTCTCTCAAGTAATCCCTGGACCTAGCGTTCGAGAGGCTGGCACTCTCCTGACCAAAGACACTCCAAAAACAATACCTGCCTCTCTCCTCAAGATACAACGGCTAATATAACATCCAAAAATAAACAGCACAGTCTCCCAAATAAAACGTTAATCTAGTACACAGACCTAAAGGATACTAGAGTATAATGCTTGCTCCAAAATAGTAGGAGTCAGAAGTCAACTTCCTGCATGCTCAGAATGGGTTGTTGCCTTTTTCTTGATTCTGCCTATATCGCCTCTTATAGGTATTTTTAAGTAGGCTGACTCTATCACAATCCTTTGTTCAATTTTTGGTGGATGATCGATCATTCATGCTTTTAGTGGTGCTAATTTCTGATCTAATGATGCCCTGAGCTTGGGTTTTTCCTTGGTGAGCGTATGTGCATCCACATGTTTATATCCTATATTGGGTACTGTTATGCTTTACAGATCCAAGTTCTTTTTTCTATGCCTTCTGAAATCATAAACTGATATTCATTCTAGCTACTAAAATATTTCTTTTTATAATGTCACTGCTACCTTCTTGGAAATGTAGCAGCTGTGTAGCCCCTTAACTGTTGCTTTTAATATACTACCTCCGGTCCTTAATATATGATCTCGTTTGACTTTTATTTTGGTCCTAAATATAAGATCCCAATCCATTTTGTCTCTCATATTTATTCATTTTTTTTCCAAAATAGTCCTTATAATAATAGTAGTTCTAACCAATACACTTAATTAGCAAGCATATTTTAGGAAAGACAACACCTATTTATTACAAATAACTAACTTAGCTAATTTTTTTAATTTACTTAAATTGACCAACTAACTTTTATATTAAGGACTGAAGATAGTAGATTCTATAAACACGGGGGTTCTAATTACATCCCTTTCTTTTCATGTTATTCCTTTTTACTTTGCACCTGATGAAGGCCTGAAAACCTATTCCGTGCATCTCTATGATCATGACTGATTAGATTCTGTTAGTTAATATTCGAATTACGCGACTTTTGATATCTTACAATTCGGCATATAAATGATCATTTATATAAGATTTGCTCTTCAAATAACACTTGTGCTTTAGATGAGATTTGTCCTCAAATGGAATTAGGGGATCTAGGCTATGGTATTGTTGGTAAAGATGGCTTATGCTGGTATGATTTGCAGAGCAATGAGCATAGTTATTAATAACACAGGTTATAGATGTAGCTCAATGCAAATGCAATGGCTTCTGAAGCTACGCCTCATGGGGAGCATTGCAATTTTCATTTAACTTCATTGTAGGAGCTACTTGTGTGATGCTGTAGATCGAGTAATTGACACTATATATGAATGAGGCAAACACAATCCTGATATAAGTGATTTCGCAAAGATGATAGGTGAAGATTCACTTTACCCATCCTTAGACAATCAATACTGAATGATTCAGTATGATGATGAGGGGGGTAATACTATCCTCACTCTCTCTCTCTCTATGTGGTTGATGAACAAATGGAAACCTCAAGATGCAGAGGAAATTGAAGAATTGCTTGATGATTTTGCATTTGATAAACCTGAATTGGTTTATTTATCTTGGGTTATAAGTTTACTATGCCCTATTATTAAGTATAGCTGTATGGAACTTTTTTTTTGACCAGCTAGCTGTATGGAACTTTAATCTATTAGAGAGGGCTGTTATGCATGAAGCTCAGGAATTTTTAGTGTGAAATATATCCTCCTGTCGAGCATCTCCTGGCAAACACAAGTTCAAATTGATTGGGGTTAATGTGAATGACACAGTTCTGCGAGTTGCAAAATCTGACGTATCATTGGAATTTTTTTTTTTTTTTTTAAATTGTTGTTCTCTGTTAAACTATAGTATGCATCATTCAATATTGTTTGTGCTGCAGAGAACCTGGAGCAGAACAGAAATTTAAGGAAATCAGCAATGCATATGAGGTAAAACTACAGATTCATGTTACTTGATTGAACTCTGATAGATGTCATGCTTGTCTAGTGATAAGTGGTCTCAAGTGAGTTTAATATTGTTGCAGGTCTTATCAGATGATGAGAAGAGATCCATATATGACACATATGGAGAGGCAGGGCTTAAAGGTTCTGGAATGGGCATGGGAGTAAGTTACTAGATGTTTTTGTGGGAATTTTCGGTGTTTCATATATTCCTGCTTCTCAAGAATGGTTTATATTTGTTGTGACAGGATTTCAGTAATCCTTTTGATCTGTTTGAGACGCTGTTTGAGGGCATGGGCATGAATCGTGGCATGAACAACAGAGGCTCTTGGAATGGAGCTGTTGATGGTGAAGATGAATATTACAGTCTTGTCTTGAACTTTAAAGAAGCAGTTTTTGGAGTAGAAAAAGAGGTAGAGATAAGCCGACTAGAGAATTGTGGAACTTGCAACGGTACTGGGGCTAAGCCTGGGACCACGCCAACCAGATGTGGTACCTGTGGAGGCCAAGGCAGGGTTGTCTCATCAACGAGGACACCGTTGGGTATTTTCCAGCAGTCAATGATATGCTCTTCGTGTAATGGAACCGGAGAAATTTCAACCCCTTGCAATACATGTTCTGGGGATGGTCGAGTGAGGAGAACAAAGCGTATAAGTCTGAAAGTTCCACCAGGTGTGGACTCTGGTAGCCGTTTAAGGGTCCGAAATGAAGGAAATGCTGGAAGACGAGGCGGTTCTCCGGGCGATCTTTTTGTTGTCATTGAAGTCATTCCAGATCCTGTTCTTAAGCGGGATGACACTAACATCCTATACACTTGTAAGGTGTCATACATTGATGCAATCTTGGGGACTACAATCAAAGTTCCTACCGTAGACGGAATGGTTGATCTAAAAATCCCAGCTGGGACCCAACCCAACACGACACTTGTCATGGCAAAGAAAGGTGTTCCCTTTCTTAATAAAAGCAGTATGAGGGGGGATCAATTGGTTCGTGTGCAAGTTGAAATACCTAAAAAACTAAACAGTGAAGAGAGGAAGCTTATTGAGGAGCTTGCTGATCTAAGCAAAGGCAAGGCTGCGGCAAGTAGGAGGTAATTTTTGTGGGGTCCTACGTGTCGATATGATGCATTTATAACCCCATAAATATGATTATCCTGGTGCATTCAACTTTGTTCACAAGGACACTTGTGGTGAACTCGTTCGCAGATCTTAGAAAATGTAGGGTGGTGAAAAAATGTATTGGTAGTGTAGGTATAGGTCTCGTAAACAAAGGCCTGATGCAGAGCAGAAATTATAGATCTCTTGGTTCATTGGAAAAGTTTGGAACTTTATAGGTTTCTATGTGTTTTCTTCTTTCTTTGTGTTATAAATCACATCTGGGATGCAATGTCATCTCCAAATTAAATTCATGAAGTTCTTTGATAAATTTGAATCAAAATAAATACATTTCCGAGTACAGATTACTTTGGGAATTTGCCGGAGCCTCACATCTCAATCTTCGTTGCCATACTTACATGAATAAGCTAAATTTTTTGAAGAAAATCAGTAAAATAAACCTCTTATTTGTGACCAATCACCATGCGGAGTTTCAGGAGGGTCGCGTAATTTAGAAGACAGCACTCGTTTGTGTTATCCTACGTCTTGCCAACCGTTTGCTTTCATTCATTCCTTTTCATTTGTTTTTTTCTTTTTTTTTTAACCCTATTTGCTTTCGTATTCGCTCTTTTTTTTTTTTTTTTTTACGAGATGCTCATGTTCATTCAAATCTTGCGCTTTGGTTTGAACTGCAATAAATTAGGTCGAAGCAGGGAAAAAGAGAACATTGGGGCGAGAGAGGCTCGAACTCTCGACCTCAGGATAACTCAGAAAGCTATGAGACCTACGCGCTAGCCAACTGCGCCACCACCCCAGCTTGACATAGGCCGTACAGTAAGAGGGATTTGGATAAAATCAAATTATATTTAAAAAATAACTTCTAAGAATAGATTTTTGAAAGAATAAATTTTATAAAAAAAGTGATTATGATTAAGTGAGTGTTTGGATAGTTGTTATCAGAAACACTTTTTTTATGTACAAATTACTAAAAAAAGTATAGGTTAATATGATAATTATATAAAAGATAATTTATAATATATTTTAATTTGAAGAAATAAAATTACTAATAATATATTTTTTTACCAACATAATTAATAATATATAAGATAAAGTAATTAATAAATAACTAATATGTGTATATATATTTACAAAATATAAATTAAATATGTTTATAAACAAAATAATTGAGGGGTGTTAAAGTCATATTATCATTGAGATCTACTCTGACAGGTACAATTATATTCTTTAATTTGAGTCAGAAACAGAATGAATTCACTTTTTTTAAAACCATGGCTTTGAGTCCAAAACCATAGTTTGTTAATTTTTCTTTCTATTTGGCAATCCAGAACCAAAACCATGGTTTGGATTCCAAACCATGGTTTCCTATATTACCCAAACAAGCCCTAAATCTTCTGATCCAATTCATCCTCAATTGGACCATTCGCCTCTTGAAAGGTCTTGGATTCTGAACAAGGACATGCACCTTTATCCCGCTTAGTTATTATTTTTCTTCAGCTTAACGAATAATGATTGTTTTCATAATGTAATTGCATTGGAAACTTCAACATAAAAAAATTAAATTAGAACAAAAATAAGGAGTTTATTATAGGTTTTGGGGCATACAATACTTTAGAAAAATGCATTAGGGCTGAGCCTTGATGAGATTTTGTCATCACAAGAGCTAAAAAGTCATCAACAATGAAGAGCCTCTTTTATGAAGACATTGAAATCATTAAAGGATGATCCTCCAACCTCAATAGCTTCCAATGCCTTCTTCCTCCACTCCTCAACTTGCTCCTTTGCTTCCCTTCCCTTCACTCCCTCCATCATTTCTTTACAAGTTCTGCAACTTCGTCTCGTTTCACATCTTCATTTACCTGAACCATATATAAGCACCACAAATTCACCAACTATTCAACTGTAAAACATACAACTCAATATGCCTATGTCAAGTTTAAACTCACAATATAAGGGGTGCTAATGAAGTCAATTAGCTCATTTTGTATAGTATACTAAATGAATTATATAGAAGCAAATTGGATGATTGAATCTAATCTTAAATACTATTTTTAGTCCTCAATATCAAAGCTGTTTAGGACTTCGATTTAATTTTAAATATGAGACTTCAATCTTCTTTATTTCACAAAATTATAATTCATTCTTTAAAATAACCCTATTGATTACACATATTAAAGGTTTATATCCAATGATAGTTATGATTAAAAAAGATATTTTAGGAAGGTTAACTTATATTTGTTACAAATACCAAACTTAACGATTCTTAATATTCTTAAATCAATTAAGTAGCTCTTATATTAAAGAACGGGTGTAATATAAAATTTCAATCACTTTGTCTCTTATATTTATTATTTTTTTCAAAATTAATTTACCTAACTGATATAATTTGATGTTATATATAGATATTTTAGAGACATCATGTCATATTTTCTATAATTAACTAATTTGTCTAACTTCTTTAACTTGCTCAAATTAGTTAAGTAATTCTTGTATTAAGGACCAAAGAGAACACATCTTAAATATATAACAAACATGCATCACATATATCCAAAAAAGCATGGCTGATCAAGCTTCTGTTATATATCATCTTCTGGTTCTGTTCCTTTAGATGCACAAAAAGGAGGCCTACTTCATATGCATCAGGAGGACAAGAGAACACACAAAACCGTTTGATTTGGAGACAATAGAAACCCCATTTATGATGGGAAGTTATCATTAATTACCTCCATTCCTATGTTCCAATGTGTGCATGCATATCTGCAATTGATCTGTTGCTCGGCGAAAAAGGCCAGCAAATCAAAGGAACACCTCCGCATAGAGCTTCTGTCATGGAGTTCCATCCACAATGCGTCAAGAACAGTCCAACTGATGGATGAGAAAGCACTTTCTCCTGATGACACCAACTTGTGATGTAACCTCTTTCCTTAATCTCATCACAAAACTCCTTCGGCAAAATCGCTGATTTACCCATTACCACATCAGACCTTATTATCCACAAAAATGGAACCTTGCTGTTAGCTAAACCCCAAGCAAATTCCTTCAAGTGATTATGTGACATGACGGTCCAGCTTCCATAATTCACGTACAAAACCGAACCGGGCTCCCATTTCTGAAGCCAGTTCAGACATTCGGAGTCTTCTTTTCGCAGGGTTGGTCGTACGGATGTCAAGTGGTTGTCAGGAACATGCCTGAGCAAGAACGGAAGAGGACCTATGGCGTATATATTGGGAAGAAAATCGGCTTTCATAGCTTCGAGGACTTGAGATTCTAAGTCGTGGAAGGTGTTGATGATGATTGCTGGTGATTTTAAGCAGTTTTTGGTTTCTGTTCTTGCGAAATCGAACATTGTCTCGTTAAGGTCGGTGGTTCTGATGAAGTTTGGCATGTCTTTGAGTCTAATGTTTGTCATCCCAGGAATCCAATCTATGGGCATGTCCAGTGCGCTTTCGGTGATGGATTCAGGATCTGCAACAATATGAGAAAACTCGGCAGATATGTAGTTGTGAATTTTGGTCTTCGTCAATGTGGCCAAATTTTTATCTTTTCAATATAAAAGGAAAAATCATCCTAATAATTATTCACTCATTTTTAGGCATATTCCTTACTATTCACTCTACGCAGGGTTGAATTGACCGTATGATTTTTTTTTTTTAAAAAAAGCAAAGCATTACATCAAAATAAACATTCCAAAAAAAAAAAAAATCGATCAGTATGATGTTGTTCGAATGGGTGAAAATAGCAAAATAATAATAATAATAATAAATTTAATAATAATAATAATAATATAATTAAAATTTTTTCTTTCAAAAAATTATAAAATTTTGGCTTATAAAGATCAACCTGAAAATTAAATAAAATTATAAAAGACCATGGTTTATATTTTTCATGAATTAAAAAAAAATCAAAATAACAACTAATCATCAACATATATACTAGCTCTAGTACTAAATATAAGAGTTAGTTAGGATTAAATTTTATCCTAAATATAAGATTTTAATTTATTTTCTCTCAAATTAATAATGTTTTCTTCAAAATATCTTATTAATTATAAGCGATTTTCATTAAGAAGTACTTTTAACGTATACATGATTAAATGAAATAATTTATGAAAGTACAATTAAATAAATAATTAATTAATTTTTTTTACCTTTCTAAATTAGTTATCTAGCAATTTTTTTTTGGTATATTAATAATTCATTTGTGAAGAACCACCCTGTAATCCACTAATAGACAGAGACGTGTTTTGACTTTTGAAGAGGAAAGTACCTTTGAAAGGAATGATTCCTCTGTGAATAAGAGCATCGAATTGCAGGTAGGCCATGAAGCCACAAGCAGAGGCATCCAGAATTGAACTTCAGGTATCCCTAATTCCTCTGAGACTTCTATCGCAAAGCTCATAAGCCCATCTGCTATGATGCCCTCACCGCACCGAATCCTTCTTCCTCCTCCGCTGACGACTGCATCCTCTTGATCAGCTCCTTTAAACGGCTCCGAACAGTTCTTCCTCAACGCGTCAGACAACTCCAATACGTCCGGATTGGCGTCCCGATCCGACTGATGCAGCCCGTCAGGTATCGTCTCCACCCGAAAACCCGCCAATCCCTTGGCGAAGTCGGGTCCTAAGGATCGGACAAGGCGCGTGTGATACGACACCGTGTCGACCATAGTTACGTTGAAACCCTTCCAATGAAGGAGCTTGACGAGTTGCATAAAAGGGCTCACATGGCCTTGTTGCTGAGTACGGAACACAAACCGCATGTGGCTTCATCATTTTCTCGGCTCTGTTTTACGTTTCCGTAGGCAGAAGGATGGAATGATGCTGATCTTATATGCTACCATGTAGTTTTAACAATATATTAGCTTGGGTCTTTAATATAAGACCCTATTTTATTTTTATTTTAGTCCTAAATATAAGATCTCAATCTATTTTGTCTCTCATATTTATACTTTTTTTTTCAAAATAACTCTTCTAATAATGATAGTTCTAGTTAATATACTTGATTAGCAAGGATATTTTGGGAAAGACAACATCTATTTAGGACAAATAACCAACTCAACTCACTTCCTTAATCTCCTCAAATTAGTCAACTGGCTCTTATAATTAGAATCGGAGGTAGTATATTATGAACTATATATATACACACACATATATGATGATGATGATGATATAAAGGTTAAAGTATATGTGTGGTGCTTTAACTTTATGCAAGATTTTAATTTGGTTCTTAATTTTAAAAAACATATATTTAGTTTTTTAATTTTAAAATTATTAGATTTTAATAATGATTTTTTAACAATCATAAATATTTTAAAAATTAAATTTAATATATTAGTATTTGAGAATATTATATTAATATTT